ATAATAACATTAATAAACAAATTGATGTAAGCGCTGAACATTTAATAAAAACTAACACTGACGTAATAAAATCAGTATAAGCCCGTAGTAGCAAGATTTCTCGAGGGTCGATCCAGTGTGGCAGAAATAATCTTAGGTGTGCCGATTTTATTCCCCCGGGCGAGTGTGGGAAGTTGCACGAGTTGTCTTCAGGTATTGTAAACAGGGTAGGAGGAGGAGGGGAGGGAGGAGGGAGGAGGGAGGAGGGAGGAGCGAGAAGGGAGAAGGAGCGGAGGTGGGAGAGGAGGAGGATGGAGGTGGTGTGGGGGGGAGGGAGGAGGAGGTGGGGAGGGAAGGAGGAGGGAGTGGGGAAGAGAGAGGAGGAGGAGGGAGGTGGGGGAGGAGAGTAGGTGGTGGGGAGAGGAGGGAGGGAGGGAGGTGGGGGCAAGGGAGAGGGAGGAGGAGGAGTTAGGTGGGAGGTGGGGAGGAGGAGGCAGTTAGGGAGAGAAGAGGAGTCTGTGGGGGTAAGGAGAGGAGGAGGAGGGAGGAGAAGGAGGAGGTGGCGAGAGGAGGGAGGGGGGAAGAGGTGGTGGTGGAGGGGGAGAGGAGGAAGAGGAGGAGGGAGGGAGGAGGGAGGTGGGGGAAAGCGAGGGAGGAGGTGGTGGCGGGGAGTTGGGAAGAGGAGGGAGGAGGGAGGGAGGAGGGAGGTGATGAGGAGGAGGATGGAGAGGAAGGAGGTGGTGTGGGAGAAGGGAGAGGAGGCGAGAGAAGAGGGAGGTGGGTGGAGGAGGAGAGGTGGGGAAGAGGTGGTGGTGGGTGTGTGGTGGGGGGAGGAGAAGGGAAGGAGGAGGAGGGGAAAAGGTGGTGGTGCGAGGAGGAGGTCGGGTGCGGGGGAAGGAGAGAGCAGTAGAAAGGGGGAGGTGCGGGGAGGACGGTGGAGTTAGTGGTGGGGGGAGAAGGAGGAGGAGGAGAGTAGGTGGTGGGGGGGAAGGGAGGAGGAGGTTGGGAGGTGGGGGGAGGAGGAGGTCGGAGGTTGGGGAGAGTAGGTGGTAGGGGGGAGGAGGTGGGGGAAAGGGGAGAGGAGGGAGGAGGAGGTGGTGGGAGAAGGAGAAGGAGACGTGGTGGGGGAGGGAAGGAGAAGAAGGGAGAGGAAGGGAGTGGTTGGGGGGAGGGGGAGGACGGTGGGGGAAGGGAGAGGAGGAGGGGAGTGCGCGGGAGAGGAGTTAGGTGGTGCGGGGGAGGAGGAGAGAGGGAGAGGTAGGGGAGGGAGAGGAGGAGGAGGGAAGTGGGGGAAGGAGAGAGGAGGAGGAGGAGGAGGAGAGGGAGTTGGGAGATGGGCGAGGGAGAGGAGGAGGTGGGGGAGAAGGAGGGGGAAGGAGAGAGAGAGGAGTAGGTGGTAGGGGAAGGGAGGGAGAGGAGGAGAGGGTGGGGAAGGAGGGAGGGAGATGAGAGGGATGTGGGGGAAGGCGAGAGGAGCGAGAAGAGAGGAGTTAGGTGGTTGGGGAGGGAGGGAGAGGAGGAGGAGGAGACGGGAGAGGGAAGGTGCGAGGTAGGACTGCAGGTACGGTACTCTTGCGCGTGGCGTGTGCGTAGGAGTGCTTTCAGTTGAGGTACTGTATCAGCGATGGCTGTGGCCTCTTGTATGTATTTCTGTTGGGATGATAGGGCTTGTTTTTTCCTTTCGTTTAAATTACATACATACATACATACATACATACTACACATATATATATATATATATATATATATAATATATATATATATATATATATATATATATATATATATATATATATATATATTAAAGTACATCTATATTTTATCAATTTACTTTTTTCTCTTTCTCTCCACTCATTGCCCTCTTCCCCTTCCCTTCTCCCTCCATTTCCTCCCTTTTCCTCTCCTCTTACCTCACCCTCCCTCCCCCCTCCCCCCTCTCCCCCTCCCTCTCCTTCCCTCCCTCCCCCTATCGCCCCCTCGTGAACCCACACCCACCCCGGCTCCATCACCAGCGGACGTGTCTATCATAATACTTAAGCTTATCATGAGCATTGTGTCTCACTCCTCCTCTTCCTTCTCTATCTTCCTCATCATTATTTTCTTCCTCTTCTTCTCCCCTCTTCCTCTTATTCTTCCTGGTTCCTTGTCCTTTGGTCCTTCCTCCTTACTTCCTCCTCCTTCCTACCACCACCATCCCTCCTCCTCCACCTCCTTTCTTCTCCCTCTCCTCCTCCTCCTTCTTCCTCCTCCTTCTCCTCCTCTTCTTCTTCTTCTTCTTCTTCTTCTTCTTCTTCTTCTTCTTCTTCTTCTCTTCTTCTTTCTTCTTCCTTCTTTCTTCTTTCTGGCGTCCTATATGTATATATATGAAATGATACATACATACATACA